GGGTGATCACGCTGAAAATGGAGATCCCGGGCTCCATGCCACCTCTCATCCAGGAAATGCTAGAGAACTCCGAGGGCCTGGACACTCTGAGCGGACAGCCAGGGAGCGGGGGGCGGGATGGGGGCGGCCTGGCCCCCGCCCCCGGTAGCTGTAGCCCCAGCCTCAGCCCCAGCTCAAACAGAAGCAGCCCGGCCGCCCACTCCCCGTGACCGCCCGTGCCCCGTGGACACAGCCCTCACCCCACGCCCTGGCTTTTCTCTGCCTTTCTACCAACCATGCGACCCCCACCAGCCCTGCCCCCCACCTGTCCTCCCTTTCCTGGGGGACAGGAGGGAGGAGGCGGCGACTCTTCAGATGGAGGCCCAGGTGCAGATGGACTGCCTGCTCCTGCAGCCTGGGCTGATGTCAGGGGCAAGGTCATGAACTGAGTGAGGACCCCTGGTCCCGGGCCTCAGGATGGAGCCTGGGGGCCTGGTGTTCATCAAGACAGCCCTCTGCCCCCCTTGCCACATCTTCATCACCAGCAAACGCCAGGACCTGGCTCCCCCATACTCAGAACCCGCAAGCCATTGCCCCCCGGTCGGGAACCCCCCCCTGCCTAGGTTGGTGACAGAGGGGGTGGGCCAGGGGTGGGGGGTTCCCCCTGTACATACCCTGCCATACCAACCCCCAGGTATTAATTCTCGCTGGTTTTGTTTTTATTTTAAATTTTTTTTGGTTTTGATTTTTTTAATAAGAATTTTCATTTTAAGCACATTTATACTGAAGGAATCTGTGCTGTGTATTGGGGGGAGCTGGATCCAGAGCTGGAGGGGGGTGGGTCCTGGGAGAGGGGAGCGGCTCAGAAGGGGCTCCCACTCTCTCTCCATGTCCCTGCACCCCCTAGCCCTCCTCCCCAGCCATTTTCTCCTCAGTTTTCTCTTTAAAACTGTGAAGTACTAACTTTCCAAGATCTGCCCTCCCCTTCTCCCTCTGCCTAACCACTGGGCGTGGACCGTTTCCGGCAGCCCCTAGAAGGAGGGGGCTCACCAGGAGAGACAGGGCAGGGGCAAAGCAAGGGGGGGGGGGGTGGTCCTCAGAACATCCACGTGTGTGTGTCTCCACCCTGTGGCCTTGGCAGAGCTGCCT